GAGGGGCAGCACGCCGGCGCCCCTCGACACAAGGGACACAGGCAGGGCCAGGGCCCTGAGGAAGGGGAGGGAGGGACCGGGGCAGACCAGACACAAGAAGACGGGAGGCCATGCCTCTGAGCCGAAGTAGAGAGGGGTGACCAAGGCGGTGGTGCCAGAGGAGAGTCTCGTGCGACAGGAGACGACACGAACAGGGGGCAGACTCAGGACCAGACCTGGACGCTGCAGCAAACACCTGACCCGACGCAGCTACCCTACCAGACTCAGCAACGGGAGGAGACGCAGTGGTCAGTGTGTACAGGCTCGACCCCGGCTGACGGGTAAACGTAGCCAGGTGTCGGCCTGTGCTAGCCTCGGTGCAGTGCGTCACCCGCTGGCGCGTAGGAGTGAACTGGTGGACACCCGCATCCTGTAGGTCAGCACCACTCACCAGGTTCGTAGAGAACGAGGGGAGGTAGAGACCAGACAGGGTGCCAGAGGGAGCCGCCGGACACGGGAGGACTGTAGAGAAGCGAGACAGGACAGGACCCCCAGAGGGGTCAGCCAAAGACACCGCAACCGGCCGACTAAGCGGCGTGAGTGCGGTGCGGTCCTGAAAGAAGGAGCGAGAAGCCCCAGAGTCAAGGGTGAAGGTGAGGGAGGCCGAAGCCGACGCAGTACCTGAGAGCGCAGACTCACCAGTACCTGAGGGCGCAGACGCAGTGGCACCTAGAGCAGCAGCCTCACCGGCACCTAGAGCAGTAGTACCAATGCCCGGGTCGGGCGGGAAACACCGGTAACAGTCACCCTCATCACTAATAGTCACAGCATACATTGCAGCAAGGATAGCATCAAAGTCAAGATCAAAGATAGCTACGCCTGCTCTAGACAGCTCTCCCCAGCGGGGGATCTCACTGGCCTCCGGGAACTGCTGACGCCAAGCGTCCGTCAGGCGGCCAAAGCAGCGCTGGGCGGTGTGGGCACCCCCACACTGCTCACCCGCGCGGTCGCCGGTGCGAAGGACGTAGGTGCAGGGATCAAAGCTCCCACCACGCTGACGCTGCGTGTACCACTCACGGAGCTGCTGAGGGGACAGGCCCTCACGACCTCGCTGCTGCTGCTGGCGCGTGGCACCACCGGAGCCACTCCTCTGCGAAGACCCGCGACTAGCTCCACCGCCACCCCCGCCGCCTCCGTCGCCTCCGCTACTACTGCCGCCTCCACCACCGCCTCCACCGCCGCCACCTCCGCCACCTCCCCTCCCACCGCCGCCACCTCCGCCACCTCCGCTCCCACCGCCACCCCCACTCCCCCCGCCGCCTTCACCTCCACCTCCACCACCCCCGCTTGCTCCTCCAGCGCCCCTGCCCCCCTTGCCCTTGCCAGAGCGGCGTCTCGCGCTAGGGGCAGACGCCGCACCGACCGACTCAAGACCAAGGAGGTGGGCCGCAGAAGCAGAGGCAACAGAGGGCAGAAGGGGGGAGGGGGAACACCCCTCAAAGATGGGGGTGCGCGGGTCACCACAAGAGGCCCCTACAGCGATTATGCCCTTCTCGGCCGCTAGGAGGGACTTCTCGAGGAGGTCTACAGTGAGAGTGGTGGGACAGATTGAGAGGAAGTGGTCCCTGACTACGCGAAGGGAGTCAGGGCGACGAGTGACTATGTAGTAGAGGGTGATGTACATGGGGCGGTGTTCTTGGCGCAGAAGTCAGCACGTAGTGCAGCGCGGTAGCGAGTGTCACTAGTGCGGAGGTGCGTAATGAGGTCAGCGACTGTGGGAAAGGCAGCAAGGTCAGGGAAGAGGTACGGTAGCATGAGACGGCTCAGTGCAGCAGTGGCAGGGGAGGATTAGCGCGCAATTACAGCGTCGTACAAGGTCTGAGCACTCTTGTACTGACTAAAGTGCGCGCGCTCGGAGGTAGGGAGGTGGCGACGCACAGCAAGACGTGCAGCAGCGTCGCGCATGGCCCACTGGGAGCGAATAGTGGCGTCAGCATCAGCAGTAGGGGCAGGGGCATCGCCAGAGGTGAGGTCAAAGAGAGAGAGGCCGTCTGCCCTATCGCACTGTAAGAACAGCTGCAGGTCATCTACCCAGACCTCAAAGTCAATGGCCCTACCCTCAGCGTCAAAGGCGAGGACGCTAGGAGTAGCCATGACCCTAGACGACCAGCAGTGCAAACAGTAGGGTGGGGGTGCAGTGCAGTGACAAAGGGGCTGTGCTCACCAGACTGAGCAGGTCGGGTGGCTCGGAAGAAGGGCGGCTCGGACGCTCGGCGGCTCGGTTGCTGGGCTGCTCAGCGGCTCGGCTGCTGGGCTGCTCGGCGGCTCGGCTGCGGCTCGGCTGCTGGGCTGCTCGGCGGCTCGGCTGCGGCTCGGCTGCTGGGCTGCTCGGCGGCTCGGTGGGTGAACGGCTCGGCAATGCAGCAGGTGACGGGCCGGGACAGGCGGCGCACGGGCGGTGAAGAGCCGGGACAGGCGGCGTGGGGCCGGGGCGGGTACCGCACGGGCGGCGACGGGCCGGGGCAGCTGCGCGGAGCCGGGACGAGCGGCGTACGGGCGGCTACGGGCCGGGACAGCGGCGTGGGGCCGGGACGGGCGGCGCACGGGCAGCGTGGGGCCGGGACGGCGGCGCGGGGCCGGGACGAGCGGCGCACGGGCAGCGTGGGGCTTGGACGGCGGCGCGCGGCCGGGACGGGCGGCGCACGGGCGGCGTTGGGCCGGGACGGGCGGCGCATGGGCGTCGACGGGCCGGAGCAGCGGCGCGCGGCCGGGACGGGCGGCGCACAGGCAGCGTGGGGCCGGGACGGGCGGCGCACGGGCGTCGACGGGCCGGGGCAGCGGCGCGCGGCCGGGACGGGCGGCGCACAGGCGGCGTGGGGCCGGGACGGGCGGCGCACGGGTGGCTTGGGGCCGGGACGGCGGCGCGCGGCCGGGACGGGCGGCGCACGGGCGGCATGGGGCCGGGACGGGCGGCGCACGGGCGACGACGGGCCGGGGCAGCGGCGCGCGGCCGGGACGGGCGGCGCACAGGCGGCGTGGGGCCGGGACGGGCGGCGCACGGGCGGCGTGGGGCCGGGACGGCGGCGCGGGGCCGGGACGGGCGGCGCACGGGCGGCGTGGGGCCGGGACGGCGGCGCGCGGCCGGGATGGGCGACGCACGGGCGGCGTTGGGCCGGGACGGGCGGCGCACGGGCGGCGTGGTGCCGGAACGGGCGGCGCACGGGCGTCTAAGGGCCGGGACGGGCGGCTAAAGGGGCCACTAGGGGCCGAGAGAGAGGGGAGCGCGACTCGGGCAGGGGCTGAGTGCGCTCCGGGCAGGAAAAAAAAACGGTGGGCCCTAGGAACAGTTCCCACGAGGGAACCTGCTCGATACCATGAGAAGAAACGAGAATGAATGAACTAACAGTGAAATGAGTACAAATAGGAAACCCTAGAAATGTGTACCCCCTATAGGCTAACCCATTGTAGCCTAAGTAACTACAACATCATATATAATGTTTGACAGCATGCTAGCACGCGGTCGACCATGCTGAGCTGGCAATTAACCTGTGCATCCTAGCTCTGGTGTTGTCTTGCCTTGCCAACTTGATTGTACCATTGTTGTGAACTCTTGCTATTGAAACTCTTGCCAACTTTCCCCGTGAACCAGCAAGTAGTGCAAGTACGAGTAAATGCCTAAGTGAATGAACGCAGAGATCACACAAGCACCCGTGCCTAGCCTGTAGTCTAGTCCCCGTTGTAGTAGTTATCTCCGCAAGATTACGACGGGCCATCGTTGTCACTTGCCGCATGGGACGACTCTGAAATTGTCGCGCAACTATTGACCCAGGTCCAACGGCATCAACTGCCACACACGATGACGACTTCCGCAAATTTCGTGCAGGTGCCGACGCAGGTCCGCTGACACCAGCTTCTTCACAAAGTTTCGAAATCGTCGTTAAAACCGCAATAGAATAGTAACTCACGTTCAATGTCGCGATAGCTACTGCTGCCCGTTGGCCGGGGGGAGGGAGGTCACGGTCGATCGCGACCGTTCGAGGTAAGGATCTGGCGGTGCCAAAGGAGCGCCCCGTAAATCTATGGCCGCAAGGAGCAATTAACTCGTTCTCCTGGCCGGCCTACGCAACTTCCGGACCCCAAGACATCCCGAGGGGTATTACACTCTAAAAAGCAAGGTAGGCTAGGAAAGTCGCTCTGATACCAAGTGTTACGAATAAACTTGCAGAGCACGCGAAACTAATAACGAGAATGATTGACTACTGAATGACGATACAGTGAAAGTAGCGAAGCCTTAATAAGGGAAAACCTATCTAGGCGGGGAGGTGGGGAAAGGTTTGGCTCGCGAAGGGTCGAGATTGGTGCGGAGGCGGCTCGGTGAGGCTTGGGTGCTAAATTGTAGGCCAAACCAGTTGGTCGCGTGGCCCTGGTGATGGTCTCGCTAAAGAGTGTCTCAGTAAGGATTTCTAAATCCTTACATGCTTCATGGGCTCCTTCCATGCGCGTTTCGGTGTTTCTGTTTCCAAGCCCTCCAAGCACCAGCCAGCCCGCCATTTCGCCTTCACCTTCCTTTTCCGATAGTCATCACTCCTCACGCCCCTCTGTCAGTCGCTATTCCTGGGAAGTGTGCTGGTCTAGGAGTATTTTCGCAGGCGACTTCCTTCCGCTGCTTAATTAACCGCCGTTATTCGCTCTCTCATTTCGCCTGAAGCGTTGTCGTGGGCTGGACCCGCTCCGCCTGCGCCTCGAGGGCGACAAGTCTGTGCCAATCCGTCTCGTGTCCTGTTCATTCCTTCCGCGGTCCGATTGTAAATCCCGCCCTTGAACGCATGCCTACAAAAGTCATGACGGATTTGGGATCAGCAGATATGATTTCAAGCGGAGCAGAACTTCCAGTCCCTTCAGATTTCCAAAGCTTCCATTTCGTACTCAATCATTCGAGTTTCTCGGTGTTCCCTGTACCACTTGAACCGACGTGAACAGCCATGGCATCGAAGAACATCCTCATTATAGCCGTCCTCGCAATGCTCCTCGTGGGCCTCGCGGTTGCCGACAATCAGGATCGCAAGCGGGACGGCACGGGCAACCAGGACCGCGACAAGAAGCGCGACGGCTCGTGCGCCAAATCCGGCACGTGCACCGGCAACAAGAACGGCGGCAACCCCGGTGGTCGCGGCGGCAATGGCGCTGGGAGGGGGAATCAGGGGAAGAAAGGCACGGGGACTTGCAACAAGAGCGGCAGCGCGAGTTGCGACGGCAGCGGGCGGAAGAACGCGGTGATGGCGAGCGCAAATGCGGTGGCGGCTGCTGACGTGGCGGCAGCTGACGTGGACGTGCAGGCGTGTGACGGGGCGAAGCAGGCGGGGAAGCTGATGAGCGGATTGAGAAAGAGCGGATTCAACAAGTTCGCGGCGGCGCTGCAGCATACAGGTGCGCTGTGCGCCCCTGCTGGCGCTGTCCCTGTCCAGCCGCTATCGTTTTCCCTTTTCTGATCCCTCTCCCTCTCCCTCTCCCTCTCCCTCTCCCTCTCCCTCTCCCGCTCCCTCTCCCTCTCCCTATCCCTCTCCCTCTCCCTCTCCCTCTCCCTCTCCCTCTCCCCGTCTCACCCGCCATCCCATCTGCCACCTCCTGCCATCCCCGTGTGCCCCACCATCCCACCAGGCCTGGCGGCGGAGTTCCCGGAGGTGATGTGCGGGCAGGGGGGCGGGGTGACGGTGCTGGCCATCCCCGACGCGCCCATGGGGCAGCTGCCCCCTTCAGTGCGAGGGGACCCGCTGATGCTGAGGGAGCAGCTGCTGCTGCACGTCGTCAAGGGCGCCCGCCCCTACTCCCGCATGCAGGCGCGCGGCAAGAACTACAAGGTCAGAAGCAAGCATTTCTGTGCTACCTTCCCCTGCATTTAATTTCTGACTCCCACCGCCGCCCTCCCCCTCTCTCCCACGCCTATGCCTCCTTCTCTCCCCACCCCCTGCCCTCCCTCACCTCTCACCCCTCGCCCTCCCTCTCTCTCCATGCCTCGCCCTCACTCTCTCCCCAATCCTTCTCCCCCCAAACCCCACTCTCGCGCCCGCAGTTCGCCTGTGCGGCGGGGGCGGGGGCAGGGCGGCTGGTGAAGGCGAGCCAGGGCAGCGCGGCGCTGGTGCTGCGAGTGGGCAGGGGGTGGGGGCAGGCAGCAGCCGTGACGCGCCCCGATGCCTTCCGGTGCACGGGGGGGGCGGTGCACGGAGTGAACTGCGCGCTGGGCATGGGGCGCATGGGCAGGCCCGGCAGGCGCGTGCCTCTGGGGCAGTGCCTGCGCAACGGGAGCGACCAGGATGATGACTAGGATGAGGGGGGGGAGTGGGAGTGAGTAGGAGAAGAGGGGTGGAGGCGGTTGGTAGAAAGGTGAGGCGAGGCCGAAGCATGGGTGGGTGCGTAGTTGGCAGGAGTAAGCACTGGGTGCTGTTCCATCAAACATGTAGTGTGCGTGGGATGATAGTGTATGAAGCGGTTGGTTGCATGAGAGGGTGTACAGGGGTTAGGGAAGGATTGGCGGAAGGGAGTTGAGGAAAGCAGGGTGGGTGCAGAGTCGGTGTGGTGCTGTTCAATCAGTGTCTGTGCAATTATCTGCAGGAGAGGATGTACAGGGGAGAGGGATTGGCGGTAGGGGGTCGAGGAATGCAGGGTGGGTGCAGGAGTTAGCATGGCATGTTTTTAGCAGGGTTTGTTCAGTGAGTTTGTTCTGGCGTGTGTTTTCATAGCTCCGTGATGTGTTTTTTTTTCCTAATTGCTTGCCTTTTTTAGGTATGTTCACTGGAATAAAACCCATTTTGGCGACAACTTCGCTGCTGTGGTTGGTGCACTGGCATCATCTAGTGCATTTGCCTTACAAAGAACTTCTCATGTCTTCTCTTGTCAAAGGAATAGATATGTGAATAACCGAAACTCTGCTCGCAGAATTACAGTGTCACACACGTCCCCTGTTACCTTACCTATTAGTTGCATAACGTATTCTCCCATACGTAGGACCCTCCCCCCGCCAAGAGGTCCTGGGGGTCCTATACACGGCTCAAACAAGGGAGTTCCTGTACATGTTGTCAAGGTAACGTGCATCGAGGATGACATTGACCGCAAGCGAATTACCAAAAGGAAGCGCGAACTGTCAAGAACTCAAATTCACCGCATGTTCTATCCCGCGCGGCGCGATCTGGGTCTCGTTTGTTACCAAGATCAGCAAAAAATTCACACACCACACGGCAACAACATCGCAGGCGGTCAAGAATCTAACACCACAGATGAGGTGCCACATCGGATGCCTCATCGAAGTGCTGAAGTGACAAGATCGAGTGTCGTCCATCCAACGGCTCCGTGCGTCTTGACTCTTGATAGGCCATTTGGTTCGTTGCGCACGCCCCAACACAATCCAAGCAGCCAGCCAGCCATCAGTTCAGTCCCTTCGCTTGCTGCGAAGTGCACTGGTCACCCCTCCGTCCCTCCCCTCTTTCAGCACTGCTCCAGCTTGCTTTGTTGTGTTGTGACTTGTGTCTGATCTGAGTATTCCCACGGGGCCCGCGAATTGGTGGCCGCAATTTTCCCTGCTGTCACTGTAACACCCAACAGTTGGCGGTCGTCATGCCAGGCGATATTCCCGTCAGTAAGTCTCGTTCCGTCGTTGCAAGCCACCATAGTAAAATTGAAGGCCAACCAAAATACTACATCGTGTGAAGTCTCTAAAATGGTGCACTGTCACATTTTTTGGGTTGCGTAGCAACCTTATACATTCGTTTTCACTTTTCGGTTGACTGATGTGAACAGTGATTTTCTTCCCAAAAAATGGAAAAAATAAATCACTGTTTACATAAGTTTCCCGAAAAATGGAAACAAATGTGTCCAATCATTCCATTATCGTCGATAAGTACGGCGAATGGAACAATTGGACAATCTCTTAGCACAAATAATGTAACGATACGAAACACAATCATAGGCAAACTTCTACAAGTGAAAAAAAGAAAACAAAACATGCAAAATTGTACGGAAGAGGCAGGTAAAGCTGCCTCACCGACCACCACAACAACTCACGTTGCATACACGAGGCACTTAGCACCACACCCCAAAGCAGTCACAAACGACAGCACACGAACTTGTACAAAAACGAGGGACAAAAGTTGTGAATGCTTCGAAGCTAATGCTAAAATGCATCATTGATGCAACTGAGATTGATCTGGTATGGAAGAGGCAAGCAAAGCTGCCCCACCAACGATCACAACCCCAATTGCATACACGAGGCACTTAGCACTCACCCCGAAACAGACACAACAACACTACATACATATATGCACACACACATAGGCTCACACATACGCAGACAAAAAAAAAAACAGAAACGTATAGCTAATACTAAAGCATGCAAGCATAGCCAATTAAGTTCACCAATTAATAAGCCATCACTAACTTGTCCCCCATTCCCCTCCCTCCCTCCCCCCCTCCCTGGTCTCCCATCCCCACCCAGCCCCCCTTTTTTCTCCACGATAAACAATGATTGCAGGGTAAACTTCCTGCACAGGAAAGAAATAACAGCAAATGCAGCTCTCACTCCCTGCACACAGTGACAAACAAGCAAACAAGCACAGATACCGTAATAAACACGCAACCATCCATATGAAATTCAGAAGTGCATAAATCCCCGCTAGCCTATTCCCCTTTACCCTCCCTAGACCGCTCCGTCCCTCCTTCCCTCATCTCCCTTCTCAGCTCACACGCCCTGCACAAGAAAAAACAGAGAAGCCAGCACACACACGCCCTGCACAAGCAAAAACAGCACACACACGCTCTGCACAAGCAAAAACAGCACACACACGCTCTGCACAAGCAAAAACAGCATACACACGCCCTGCACAAGCAAAAACAGCACACACACGCCCTGCACAAGCAAAAACAGCACACACGCCCTGCTCAAGCAAAAAAAGCACACACACGCCCTGCTCAAGCAAAAAGAGCACACACACGCCCTGCACAAGCAAAAACAGCACACACACGCCCTGCACAAACAAAAACAGGGAAGTCAACATCTTAGAAGCCGGCGCCCTAAGCACTAGTGCAGAAAGCGACACGCGTTTGCATAAGTAGTTCGCATAAGCGACACACACTAGTGCATGAGCACTTTGCAGCGTGCTCATGAAGCTCTCTCATGCGCTCTCTCATGCGCTCTCTCACGCGCTCTCTCACGCGCTCTCTCACGCACTCTCTCACGCGCTCTCTCACGGGCTCTCTCACGCACTCCCTCACGCGCTCTCATGCACTCTCTCACGCACTCTCTCACGCGCTCTCTCACGCGCTCTCTCACGCGCTCTCTCACACGCACTCTCACGCGCTCTCTCACGCGCACTCTCACGCGCACTCTCATGCGCTCTCACCCGCTCTCTCACGCGCTCTCTCACGCGCACTCTCACCCGCTCTCTCACGCGCTCTCTCACCCGCTCTATCACGCGCTCTCTCACGCGCTCTCACGCGCTCTCTCACGCGCTCTCTCACACGCCCTCTCATGCTCTCTCCCTCTCTCGCGCTCACTCACGCGCTCTCTCACACGCTCTCTCACGTGCTCTCTCACGCACTCTCTCACGCGCCCTCTCATGCTCTCCCTCACTCGCTCTCTCACGCGCTCTCTCTCGCGCTCACTCACGCGCTCTCTCACGAGCTCTCACACGCACACTCTACTCTCACGCGCACTCTCATGCGCTCTCACCCGCGCTCTCTCATGCGCTCTCTCACACGCACTCTCACGCGCTCTCTCACGCGCACTCTCACGCGCACTCTCACGCGCACTCTCATGCGCTCTCACCCGCTTTCTCACGCGCTCTCTCACGCGCTCTCTCACGCGCACTCTCACGCGCTCTCTGACGCGCACCCTCAGCCGCTCTCTCACGCGCTCTCTCACGCCCTCTCTCACGTCCTCTCTCCCACGCACTCCCTCACGCGCTCTCTCACGCGCACTCTCACACGCTCTCTCACGCGCACTCGGACTCTCACGCGCTCTCTCACGCGCTCTCTCACGTGCTCTCTCACGCGCTCTCTCACGTGCTCTCTCACGCGCTCTCTCACGAGCACTCTCACGCGCACTCTCCTGAGCGTTCGCTCCCACGCACACACTCTCCCTCGCGCTCCGTCTCTCCTTTTCTTCAAATGAAAGTGCAATGCAAGAGGAGACCAATCGACAAACAAAATGTACACATAGAGCAAAAAAAAAGGGGCAGGGGGGACCGGAAATATCAGAGGGGGGAGGGAGGATGAAAGGACCGGGAACGCACCTGATAACCACGGTGCCTCAGAAAACAACCCGCGCTGGCGCACCAACCCGCGCTCGCGCACCCGCGCACGCACCAACCCGCGCTCGCGCACCGACTTGCGCTTGCGCTCGTGCACTCGCCGGAGGCGACGGCTGGGAGGGAAGGAGAGGCGACGGCGGGGAGGGAAGGAGAGGCGACGGCGGGGAGGGAAGGAGAGGCGACGGCGGGGAGGGAAGGAGAGGCGACGGCGGGGAGGGAAGGAGAGGCGAAGGCGGGGAGGGAAGGAGAGGCGACGGCAGGGACGGAAGGAGAGGCGACGGCGGGGACGGAAGGAGAGGCGACGGCGGGGAGGGAAGGAGAGGCGACGGCGGGGACGGAAGGAGAGGCGACGGCGGGGAGGGAAGGAGAGGCGACGGCGGGGAGGGAAGGAGAGGCGACGGCGGGGAGGGAAGGAGAGGCGACGGCGGGGAGGGAAGGAGAGGCGACGGCGGGGAGGGAAGGAGAGGCGACGGCGGGGAGGGAAGGAGAGGCGACGGCGGGGAGGGAAGGAGAGGCGACGGCGGGGAGGGAAGGAGAGGCGACGGCAGGGACGGAAGGAGAGGCGACGGCGGGGAGGGAAGGAGAGGCGACGGCGGGGAGGGAAGGAGAGGCGACGGCGGGGAGGGAAGGAGAGGCGACGGCGGGGAGGGAAGGAGAGGCGACGGCGGGGAGGGAAGGAGAGGCGACGGCAGGGACGGAAGGAGAGGCGACAGCGGGGACGGAAGGAGAGGCGACGGAGGGGAGGGAAGGAGAGGCGACGGCGGGGACGGAAGGAGAGGCGACGGCGGGGACGGAAGGAGAGGCGACGGCGGGGAGGGAAGGAGAGGCGACGGCGGGGAGGGAAGGAGAGGCGACGGCGGGGAGGGAAGGAGAGGCGACGGAGGGGAGGGAAGGAGAGGCGACGGCGGGGAGGGAAGGAGAGGCGACGGCGGGGAGGGACGGAGAGGCGACGGTGGGGAGGGAAGGAGAGGCGACTGCAGGGAGAGAAGGAGAGGCGACGGCGGGGAGGGACGGAGCGGCGACGGCGTGGAGAAGGGAGGGGCGGCGGCGGGACAGGATGGAGTGGCGGCGGTGGGATGGGAGAAGAGGGCAGCGGGATGGGAGGGAGTGGCGATTGCGAGGTGAGGGAGAGGCGACGACATCGCACGTAGAACTGAGGCTTCCAGCAGTTAGCTGGAAGCCTTCCTGGTGACTCCCGATTTCGGGAGTCCTGTCAGTCGGCTTTCAATGCGGGGGGGTAATTGTGGGGCAACAGAACCACCCTGCAGTCAACCTGCGCAGTGCCGAAACCAACCTGCGAGGCGACTGCATTGCATAAGTTGGGAATCGCATGTCAGTTGGGGCGAGCATATCGATTTTGTTACCTTCCTAGTCGAAAAGCAAGCCCTCGCACATGCGAGACTCGAAAAGTTGGGTGTAACCAGGGCCGTAACAGATTTGATATTGTTGGTTACCACGTGATAACATGAATATTAAAAAAAGAGTTCACGAAACGGTTTTCGGATATTTGTTCCACAAATGAGAGATAAACAAAGCAAGTTATTTTAATTGAGACAACTACACTACAGTTGGCCCAACATAAACTGAGAGTACATAAACTGAATATATAAAATGAGATAGTTGAAAGCTACTAAAAATCATAAACATAATCTGCCACATAAATGTAAATTGCACAATTCGACTATAAAGCTAGCAGCCAAAAATAATTAGAAATTAAGAAACTGAATTGTCACATAAACTAATCTAAATCTACATCAGCAGCAGCAGAATCAAGCTCCTAAATGTCCTCTACAATCCGCCACTCCTTAACAATAACATCTCCGAAGTAGAAAAACCCACTCACTAACGGGATGCAAGCACGACGAATCCAGCGCTCAACCTGAGCCCGCCTCTTCTCCATCTCGCAGGTGTTGTTCTGGGAATCAGAAAACATGCTGCTTCGGTCACGTGACAGCATCTCAAACTCCACCTGCCAAGCAAACAGGTGCATTTGAATTAAATGGTAATTAAGGAGAACACATAAAAGAAGCCAAGAAACTCACCGCGACCATTGTGTAGCAAAGCTGATCAATGCTGAGGGAGAAGACCCCATCCTCTTTCTTCTGCCACTTGCTTGCAGCAGCTAAAAACGCCTCGCTACAAAACGGCTTGTCGGCCAGAGCATGCCACGGCAGGCCAAATTCCTCTGCACAAAGAGAAACATAAGTGGTGAGACACCAGAAATAACTAAAGCATTAGCAAACAGTGTACACGTACCAGACACGTAGTCTCGCGCGTAATCGCGCCGAGAGTCAACGGAGTCGTTCACTACTCTGCCGTCAGGGTACTTTAGCAGCTTGAAACTCGCCATCCGAGATTTGTTGCCGAGTTTCCCTCGCCGGCCGTTGCAAATATCGTTGCACCTCTTCGCCCACTCGCCTTTCTTCCAAAAGTCATTAAATTTCCCGAAGTCTTCGGGCTCCAGGGCGAGGTGCACCACGACGGCCGCCTTGAACTGGTCTTCCTCGGGGTAAATGACACGGGCAGAGACGTCCGGGCCCCTGAGCAGATCATCGCAGGCCTTCTTGCAAGCATCCTGCGAATCAGAGCAACACATTTCGCGAAAAGTTTAAGAATGAAAATTAAGTAACAACCAAAGAATTGAAATAAAAGAAACTTACCTCCATGGTTTTCTCGTTGCACCAACTCGGTTGGTGCACAATAGCGAGAAGGTTCTTGACAGTCGTAGCTAGAGTCTGATGGATCTCATCCGAAACACGAAGACGGTTTTCAATACGCTGCATCAGAGTCTTAACTTCCTTCAGTTCGCCACGTATGGCTGCGTCGATGTGGTTGTACGAGTTGGCCTCAGGGTGATGAACATCTCGATCTGACGTGGGCAAAGCTAAGGAACCGATAGGTAGAAAATACAACGTAGAAACGAATAAGTAACACAAAAGAGGGTAAAAATATATACAATCAAACGTTATGACAGTTGACGTCAAAAGAAGTGCACGACAAAGCACGCAACTTACCGCCGGGTCCAGCAGAGGCAACAACATTTACACCGGCAGACCGTTGCACTACCGGAGCAGTGGCATTCGAACCATCGTGGGGAGAGGGTAGTCCGTTGTCCGCGGTGACTTCCGCCGCGCCGACATCAAGGCCTTGCAAATGTGGTAACTGAGGAAGGGCGGTGGCGTTACCCACCTGATGGGCAGGGGTAGAAACTCTACGAGCGCCAGTGGTAGGGCTCCCCAACTCATACCCTTCCAGGCGACGGTTTGAAGTACGTGAACGCTTACGCTGCAGCTCCATAATTTCCGCTGGCACGCCGACCGCCATGGCTGCAAGAACGCCACTAACAGGCTTCGAGCATGAGGAAAAAACGCGAGCTAAGAAATATACATTGAGTTGGTCGATGAGAAGCTCGGCTGGGTCCACCAAGCTTCTTAAAACACAAAAGTTTACAGGATGTTTGGGGTCTAACTTGTTAGCACGATGGTTCACCCTGAGGTAGTTCAAACATCCTTTTGGTTCCCTACACTGCGAACAAACAGTTACATTGAAGCGCTTAGCAAGAATACCTGACAAAAGTAGCAAGGTTTCGAGTAATGTTTGGGTAAAATCTCTCACCAACGCCAAACTGATAAGGCAACGTGTTTGGTCCAAACATCAAAGAAGTATCGGTTTTTGCAGAAACCTGTCCCTGGGAAGGAGCCAGAAAAGAAAATGATATATCGGCGCAGAGAACTGTATCTGGCCAGGGAAATGAGCCCACAGTCGCGTTGTACAACGCGACAACACAACCGTTCAACTAGGGCAGCACGGAAAGCAAAGAAGGTGCAAGAAGCAGTTATGTGCAGCAGCACGCGTTGCAAGCGAGGCACGAAAGTCCTTATTTGGGGCGGCAGCATGCCAGCGAAGCATCAAATGTGGCGAAATCACGCGCATCGGCGGAAATCGCGCTTGTCTCAAAAAGAATCGACCCAAATTGCTCCCCCCTTGCCACGTGGGCGTTTTTCTAAATTGGATGGACCCCCTTTCCCCCCGCCCCCACAACCCGATTTTCCCGCCCTTCCCCTCCGAAATTCGGGCAGCCGTGTGTACTCCCGTGGAATCACAAACAGTCACGAATTCAAAATACAAGACGTTTTGATTCAATGTTGAATGACATTCAGTTGTGCCATCAGCCGTTGTAGTACCTTGTTACTATATCTCTCATTTTCGTATTAAATATAACCAGTAGTAAAAAACTGATATATTCTGAAATTACTAATATATGGAGCCTAGAAAACAATGCATATAAGGTTTTAAATGCGATAATAATGAGTAATATGGATTTTGAGTTTTTTGGTGCCAGTGAAGTAGCAATCCTCTTTATAATAATAATATTATGAGGGTAATATTTTCTCTAAATAATAT